CTGAATGATGATTACCAAATGCTTTGCAATCCAGATATCACTCTAACTGTAATATACGATGTGGTCTTAACTCTTGGTGTTGTTTCGATTTTCACGAATACTTACATTAGCATCGACAGATATCTAGCGTTAAGCCTAAGGCACCGATATAAAACTTACGTTACTAAAAAGAGAGTTATCATCCTCATTGCAATTACATGGATTGGCAGTATGTGTCTCGCTGTTGTGTCGAACATAATTCCATTGATGACACCAAAAAACAAATTGATTTATGTGACGTATTGCGAGACGGTAGTTTTGACATTAACTTCTACCTTCTACGCAAAGTCATTCATATCTCTTCGTCGCTACACATCGCAGGTTAACGTCCAGCAGCCTAACGCACTGCAGGGCCAATTTGATGTTACAAAGTACCGAAAAACCTTAAAGACAATGGTGGCCATATTTGTTTGTCTTTTAGTTTGCTGTGTGCCTGGAGCTGTGATGGTATTTGTTCGGCATTGTATAGGAACTAGTGATGTGACATTGATTGGTTTAGCATTGAGTTTTGTAATTTTTGCCATCAATTCCACTATAAATCCAATTATCTACCTCACAAGGTTTACAGATATTCGTCAAGAATGTAAAGCAGTTCTGAAAAAGATATTTTGTTTTGTTAATTTGAGCATTATTCAGTGAACAGCTATAAGTAATAAAGATTCACGACGATGCTCCTACATTCGTTTCTTTTTCTTCTTTTTCCTCCTCGTCCTTCTCGTTGTCGTTCTTGTTTTTGTTCTTGTTCTTTGCTGATAGTACCGTTTTGGCTAAAACAATCTTAGAATGAATCACTAGTTTTGATATGATAGTGAAATCATAGGCTATTCCCGTTCTTAGCAATGACATTGGACTTCTATTTTCAAGTAGCTGCGACGTACGAAACAGAAAGCGACCTACTAATAGTGGTCTTCCTATGTCGGATACGGCAAACTTTGGGCTAATGGTATTGCTGCGATGACCTGAACTTATTTTTGGCATTTAGTGAATGTTTAATTTCAGCAATCATCCCATGATATTTATTCATAATTTCTCGTAGTCTATCAAAATTAAATTTGTTTTTTTTTCAAAAGAAATTTCGCACGCGTGWATATACCAAGGAGATGAAAATTGAGAAAAAAATATTTTTGTAGAAAAATATTTTTTTCTCAATTTTCATCTCCTTGGTATATACACGCGTGCGAAATTTCGTACGTGTCAAAAGGCTTTCATTCATTTCCACAACTCTTCGTTTATCATTAATCGTTGACGCAATGATATTAACAAATGACACTTGCCTTTTGGACAGCTGTAGATAGTACCTATTTCTAATGAGGTTTGTACTTGTGTCTTAACAGCAGGTGTTTGTCGGTCAACAAAAGAGAGTTTWAAGGAAAAACCACTCATGCAAGCTTTAGATCCATCAACCTAGTGCAGCGTGAYGGGACTGCAGTTTTCTCATCATCTCCAATTCTATATTTATTCTGCATTTGGCGTCTAGTGTCCTTTAGAAATCATATTTGTGAATAATATGTAACATGTAACTAAACTTTAAATTCAATTTTCAGTCAAATTGTTCTTTTACAAAGTTTGTAAATTTTCATGTACATTCTGTAAATATCTTTTCTCGATAAAACATTGTAAATATCTTGTAAAATCAATTTACCAAGTTTATAAAATGACGATTTGCCTGTAAATTGAAAATTTACAGTAAGTTTACAGASCCTGTAAATTGATAAACCTTTCTTCCCATAAATATCTGGCGTTGCTTTTTAGCAATCCATTTTTCCCATGTTTTCACAGCCACTTCAATTGCACTTAGCTCGTCAGGCAGCCCATTGAACCTAATGGTAACAAAGATTCCCATCATTGTTTTGATAGCAGTCAGCAGATGCAGCTTTTGGAAAATTCCCTTTTTAAACTCGTGAATCTAAGTAATCTTTAAAAATTCACCTTCATGAATGAAACGCAAAACTGTGCGAATCTATTGGCTGTAATTGTCCTAGAGAACTATGATTTCTTCAAAACTACAATCACAATTAGCCTTTTTTTCAACGTGGCGTTCTCCATTTCTTCAACCCTTGGAAATGGGCTGATCATTGTCACCATTTTGAGATCCAAGAAACTTCAAACACCATCTTACCTACTGATAATAAGTTCRTCGTTCACAGATCTTCTTGTTGGGTTGTTCGTCCATCCATATATTGCTATAACTTACCTTTCATTCCTGAGAAAAAAGTCAAAAGAACTATGTGAAGATTTTTATCTAAGGATTGCTGTGATGTATTTTATCGGGTATCTTGTTGTTGTTTCATTTATCATGAATATGTTTATTAGCATGGATCGATATCTAGCGGTGAAGCTTRCACATCGATATCGAATTGTTGTGACGAAAAGGCGAGTTCGTATCCTCATTGCAATTTCTTGGTTCGGYATACCTTCCGGCGCTCTKATCATGAAGATCATTTCYAAGTYCATCCCAAATGTATTTTATGTTTTGATAGCTTTTGGTATACTTGTGCCGATTATCACGAGTATTTTCTACGCAATGGCATTCCGAAATCTTTATCGTTACACATCAAGAGTCCAAGCCAAGAAGTCTAACGACCGACAAAGACCGACATTTGATGTTGTGAAATACAGAAAAACGCTGAAGACGATGGTCGCCATTTTGGGATGTCTTCTCGTTTGCTCCAGTGCCGCAATCGCAGAAAACGTTTTCCTCAACCGTTATGGACATACTAAAGAGACAGTTAAAATCGCGATAATTTTGAGTATCATATTTGGAGCTAACTCAAGCATAAATCCTGTTATCTATTTGTCGCGGTTTAATGACATCTATCAAAGTTGCAAAAGTTTTATTTTGTAAAGGCYGAAGACGGTGCAATTTTTGCCTACRACTATCGCATRCAACATGCCTATGTTATCCTTACAACTGTCGTAGAGATGAAAAACAAAGCCCTACGACAGTTGTGACCTTGTTGYAAGGATAACTTGCATATGATAATTGTAGGCAAGATGGGTGTGCCGTCTAAATCTAAAARATGTTTGCCTTGAGGCATGCCTTGATATTTTATCTTTGAACTTTAATGAACTTAGTCCTAGGAAAGCAAGAACAATGCTAGAAAGAACCAAAATGTAATCGTTTTTAGAAGGGATTGCTCAAACTGTAATAATGATTGGCTGTGACAATCRGCGCCACCCGTTTAGCCATTAAGTGAATAAATGAAGTTAATACTTCGTCGGAGAAAAGTTATATGTTTCTCTATACAAAGTCTCTRTGAGGAATAACCAGACATTCTGGGTACCACAATGGTCTTACTTCGATTGAATAAAATATGATCTCACTGYCAATCTGTGCTTACATTCATGTTGACTTTAATAAATGCATGTTTTTAGTCCATCGAAAAGTTCGTTGTAATGTTCTGATATTTAAATGCCTCTTTTTATTTCTCTCATCATTCTTCACAAGAATATGTCTTCAAAATGAAAGACAGTCTTTTGAATAAAGCGTACTTGACGTCTTCTAAAATGATGTTATGCATGTTTATCAAAAAGAAATAGATATAACATTTCAATTTTTTACTATGTGAAAATACCACCCGGCCACYTCGGTGTTATTATCAGAAGGTAGRTTGCATCTATGTTTGTATATCATGCCATGTCAACGAAGTGACATGATTAATTTCTTTCTCAGAGGTCAATGTAAAGGTRTAACATGACATATCACCTGCCGTCTCCATTGACGTCAGCATGGACTCGCCTATACAAGGGTATACCTTTATCTTATTAAGAGTCTCTGGCAGCGTGTATAGTATAGTAATTCATCATGTCAAATCGCTGGAATGAAAGGTCTCGACATATGTCATTTCTTAAAGTAAATAAAGTATGTTGGTTGTGATCGCTAGACCACACAACTGATTTTTTCGTATCGCACGGTTTGTTTCCATCAGAAACAAGTCAGTTTTTAATGAAAATGGATACTAATCAAACCTGTCTTGTTTTAATCGCTGATGTGGCCATTCGTCAGAGTGATGAGTTCTTAAAACAGCTATGTATCACCAGCATCGTGCTCAATATCATACTGGGAATAACAGCTACTTTATTAAATGGACTGATAATCGTCGCCATCTTGAGATCCCAGAACCTCCAAACACCTTCTTATTTGCTGATAACAAGTTTGGCTTTCACTGATCTTCTAGTTGGTTTAGTTTATCATCCRTTTTTTACTATCTTCAGCATGTCTCTGTTAAGGAGGAACTACCAACTCATATGTAATCCCGAAATACCTTTATATATGTTCTTTGATGTAATCATACTAGCTCTGGGAGGAATTGCGTTCATTACCAATGCCTTCATCAGTATAGACAGATATTTAGCGCTGACTCTAAGACACCGATATAGAACTCAAGTGACTAAAAAGAGAGCTGTTATCCTAATCTCAGTTCTATGGACTGGAAATATTTCCTKTGCTGTTTTCTTGARAGTGATTAAAAGTTYKTCACTAGAACAGAAAGTTCTACCACTAGCAGTCTTTGAAGCGGTACTTTTGGCAAYAACCAGTGTGTACTACGCAAAGTCCTTTATGTCCCTGCAYCGCTACACATCACAWATACGAGCAAATCAACCCAATTCCATACAAGGCAACTTTGATGTTGTGAAATACAAAAAGACCTTGAAGACAATGGTCGCCATTTTGGTTTGCCTTCTACTTTGCTGTGTACCTGGCGCTGTGTTGTTGTTTGTGCGATATATYATAGGAGAGGAAAATAGGTTTACGTTGATTTGTGCTGCAATAGGTTTTTTTGCTTTTTCAGTCAACTCCACATTAAACCCATTGATCTATCTCACAAGATTTACAGATATACGCCAGGAGTGTAAAAAAGTTTTGAAATTGAGATAGATTTGACTGCTTCTTTGTTTATTTAACTGACTTTACTTTTTGAATTTCGACATTTTAAATGAACTCTCATTTATTAGTTGTTAGTAGAAAATAATAAAAGTTCGGGCTTGTAATGGAGACGGCATTAATTATTATATATTGTGTGTAATCATATAAAAAAATGTTTTAWATTATTTTAGATCAGTTAAGATGTCTCTGAGATATTGACCGTGTGTGTAAATAAAATCGTCTTTTTTAATTTAAGTTTTCCCACTTGCTCAGAATTTAATATTATATATGTGTGATYATGAAAAGGCTACCTAGCTGCCAGTGAAATAGCATTTCATGTGTTAAACTATCATTCCAACATTGGATCTATACCAATTCACAATTCTTTTGGATCTTGAGCTCAAATGACTTGAAAGTCAAGGCAAGAACACTATTGGAAAAATAATCTTATAAGACTACAATCAATATTACTTCCAGCTGTCATTCATACTATGTGTTTTCTGACTTTCATGTTAAATTAAGATTTATTACGTTAGATTAAAATCTGTTGTCCTGATGCAATCTACAAAYAAGATGTACGTATATTGAGCTGAATTTACTATATAAAAATAAAGTAATTACACAATCATGAGTCAAAAGAAGTTACCGGTCTCCAGATCATTGAAGTATTTGAAGACATTTCTGCGCCCAATTTGGAAGCTTTGATCACCTTGCTTAAATAATTTACGACGTAAATTATATGTAATTTAGGTTTGAAATGCTCTTTTACTTTTCATCGATATAAACGATTTGCAATGAATAACAGTGAATGTCAAGCTCCAGACTCCATAGAAGTGGTCATTAATTGCAATTTGCTCAGGAATTGGCTTATCGTCAGTGCTTTCTTCAACGTGGTTTTGTCGGTTTCAGCAACGTTTGGAAATGGATTGATCATCGTCGCCATCTTCAAATCCCAGAACCTTCAAACACCTTCTTACTTATTGATAACAAGTTTGGCGTTCACAGATCTTCTGGTTGGATTAATTTACCATCCCTTTGTAGCCTTTTGCCTTCTCATGTTGAATAGAAACCTAACAACATACCTTGAAACTGCAGATTTGGTTTTTGCTGGTTTGTCTCTAAGCTTTTTTCTCGCTTTTATTTCACTACTTATGAATGCTTTCATCAGTATCGACAGATATCTAGCGTTGAGTTTAAGGAACCGATACAGAATTTATGTCACGAAAAAGCGAGTTCGCGTCGCTATTATATTTGGATGGATTGGAACTGCTTTTTCTGTTCTAACGCAAATAATTTTGTCTTTTCATTTTGAGAAAGTAAGAATYTATATGGTTAGATTGTCCGTTGAGCTTGCAATCCTAATTATTACTATTGCAATGTATTCRATGTCGTTTGTGACTCTTCATCGCTACACATTACACGTCCAGGCCCAACAAAACAACTCGTCACAAGGCAACTTTGATGTCGCRAAATACCGAAAAACGTTGAAGACGATGGTCGCCATATTGGGATGTTTTTTCATCAGCTCCGCTACTCTAGTTGCAGCACCCGTTACTGAATTTATTATTGGATACAATAAGGTTACCA